GAGCCAGATGAGGTGGCTTGGGCATCTGATTAGGATGCCTCCTGGACGCCTCCCTGGTGAGGTGTTCCAGGCACGCCTCACCGGCAGGAGGCCCAAGGGACGAGTCAGGACACACCAGAGAGGCTGTGTCTCCCAACCTTGGGATCCCCCGTGAAGCGAAGTGGCTGGGGGGAGGGAAGTCTGGGCTTGCCTGCTAAATTTGCTGCCCCCACAACCTGACCCTCCATAGGCGGAAGAGAATGGATGGACGGATGGATGGATAGTTGGCTTACTTCAATGTCTCTCACCGAACAATTCTCACTCGCTATCTAAAAATCACGCAGTCTTGAAATCTTGAGGCAAGGAACAAGCGGAGTTTGATCCCACCAAATTTGCCCGGATTGCCGCAGAAAACACGCACCTGTTGGCATTTGAAAGGTCACGGGGGAATCTTCACGCGATGACGTAAAATCTCTTAAGAATGATCATACGGACTCAACGGAAGGGACGGAAGCCATACAGAGGTCAAAGGTTGACTAGAAACTGGCGGGAGATTTGATTTTTAATCAAGCAATTGCTCAATAGCAAATCAGAACACATTCCCTTCGGAAGTGAAAAACAGATTCAGGATTAATTACACTTTGAAAAAGATGTATGGCCCGTAATTTGAACGAGACAATGACTGTCGGGATCTTTCAAAATTGCCGCATGAAAAATGAACAGCGCGTTGGGGTGAACTACTTTAAACTCCCGAGTATGCTATTGCGTGTCCGCGGCTGACAAGTACTAATGGCTTCATTTACAAATCTATTGGTGGTTGTGGCGGTGGAAGCGTTCTCATCTAATGACTTTGTTTTGGAAGGTCACTAATGTATTACAGATGCCACTGCTTTTGTAATCAGATTACTCGAATCCCATTTAAACGGGATTCTTTTCTTCCTGCACCCCGGGGAGAGGAGAGAAAGAGCGGCAAAATTGATTAGTCATACTCACTGATGGATGTTTTCATTCATAACAAGGGGTCAGAGTTTATGAAAGCCTGTGCCCTCATCGCGCGCACACGCACGCAGTCGCGTCAATGCGACATGTCACACACTCGAGCGCGTCATACCGCCTGGCTTGCTTTGTGGAACGTTTGCACGTAGCACCAATAATCTGACGCTCACGTCACTCACCGGCCTTTTAAAGCCGCTCTCGCTCAAATGTCACGGATACGACAGTTGAACGTGAAGATGGCGACAAGAATGACACCCCCCCCGCCTCACATGTGTGTGTGTGTGTGTGTTTGTGTGTGTTTGTGTGGCCCCCCCACGCCTCACGTGTGTGTTGTGTGTGTGTGTGTGTGTGTTTAATATGCTGTAGCAAAATCTATTTTCTGTCAAAGTACTCCAACAATCGGTGCAATAAAGAAACACTCGATCGCTGCAGCTCCAGTTACTGTGCAGTTGCGCTGC